ACACACACACACACACACACACACACACACTTACACAATTCGATAAAAATGAGCCAACTGGCTCAAAAGATGCTGATTTCTTCAACTTCAATCATATTATTTGGACGAGTGCCTGATTTCACCACGCTACCTTTGTGACATCGCTAACTGGTGGCTTTTAAGCACTAAGGAGCTATTCCAAAAAATGCATTTTTGGTAAAATTGAAGGTAAAGTTTTTGCCACTTGTTCAGTTCCTTTAAATGACAAGGAGGGTTTTCTCTATAACCAAAAAAATATACACACCAATGAAACCAAACTTCTCCAATAACCACTTTTCGTGTGGGTCAAGATTTCTGGAAACCCTCGAAATCTGGGTTAGCCCGCTGGTCCTTCTTAAAAGCGACCAACTGTCACCCAGTCTGTAATGTCTTCCCCTCAGGTCGTCCTCAGCCAAGGCTACGGTCACACCAGCGTGGACAAAAAGATCCGAGTGACCACCAGGACAAAGTTCGGCATTGGCTCCCTCACCAAAGCCTTCACCGCCACACTCATCTCTAAGTGGGTGCATGAGCAGGACAAGTGAGTCAAAAACACTCCACTATTATTAACCAATCAATCATTACTTAGTTTGTGGCTGGCGGGTGCTCTAATATGGATTACTTCTCCATTTTAATGAAATCTCGTCCCTAGCTCTGAGAAATAATGAAATGATATATGTCTAAGGCCCCTATAGGCATTCACAGATCGCATAAGAGGTGGAACCTCAGAGTTCAAAGTCCATCTCCTAAAGTGCCCAGCCAAACTGGGACATTCATGTAAAGCGTCTTTCCCAAGGACACAACGTCGGACCCAGCTATGGCACGAACCCATGAACCAGTAACCTGACGATGACGTGTCCTGTAGCCTAACCACAATGTTACCGACACCATTGTCTTTATCTCTCCTCCATCTATTGTGGTTATTTTACTCTCTAGAACTTACTTTTACTCTTTCATCTTCTGTTGCCGTTAAGCGTCAAGGTGAGATGCAGTTTTCTTGATACTCTCTTGCACAACCTCTAATCTTCAGCACTGATATGACATACTTGTGTTGCAATTAGTTCCGCACAACTTTACTGACAAAAACCAAGCCTCAACAAACTAGTCAACGGCATCATATCAAACAGCCAGCAAATCGATCGATCACCAATCACTTCATCCATCAACTCAAATCACCAATCAAATCAACTAGAAATATTCGACCTTAGTGTTATGTAATAATCAATCAAGCAATTAATAAAATTATGACCTATCAAGCCCATTTGTCGAACAATAAGTGAAACACATATTTATTCAGTAGACAAATATTGAAACCCCCTTCAGTCAACCAACTAATCATTCTGACAAAAAGCTCATAGATTCGTGATTATCTACTTCATTCCATACAAATCAATCTATAAATCAATTAATCAATCGAATCGTCAACTCCCCCCCCCCCTGGGTGGCATACTGTAAAGTATAGAGTAATACATCTTTTTTTATTATTAATTAGCATTGAATTGGCAGATACGAGTAAGTAAAACAATCATCATGGATACTTAATAATTTATTTAAAAGTAATCGATTCGCGAGTGGGGAGACATTATCATTGAGTTTCTCGGTCTTTCTGCTGGTATATCAAATCCCGCTCAGCTCCGGGTTGCTTGCCTGCTAAATTTTAATGAACTAAGTTGAGTCGATGGGGGTGTAAAAACAGCATGACTTTTGAATCTTTGAAAAGAAGAACGGTCCTGCCTCTTAAAAACAACCTTACTGTTTCGAAAAAAGGTTGTAGAACCTATCACCTGTATCATACCGTACAATGGCCATGTCTTCTTTACCGTAGAAATTTCGAAAATACCGACTTTTATTGTGGAATAGGGGGTAAGGCGCTTCACTGTCACAGGCAGACTTCGATTCCCGTGTAGTGAGTTTGTTTGTTTGTTATCTTTTCTTTTTGCTTGTTGGTTTGGGTTTGTTTTTTGTTTGTTTGTTTGTTTGTTTTTTGTTTTGTTTTTGTGTTGGGTTTTTTTATTTTGGGGTTGGGGGTTATGGGGTTTTTTTAGAAGAGGAGTTGGGGTTGTTGGGTTTGTGGGGGTTTTTTTATTTTGTTTTTGTTTGGGTATTTTTTAGGAGTGGTTGTTGTTGTTGTAGGGATTATATACAAGGAATGTCTCAGTCATTCTACAAGTGTGATGTATCCTTCTCAGTCCGGTTTGCCGCCAGGGACGAAGTAGCCCAGCTTCTAAATAAGCCAAATTGTGTTGATTGGAACGTAAAATTCTACAATTACAAATTTGTTGGGGGAGGGGTGGGGGTTGTGCAATATTTGAAAAGGTTTTGATGATCCCAGATTTAGCTACGTGTTTAAGAAATAATTCGGCTGCGCACCCCAAGACCTCCAATGTTTCTCCTTCGACTTTTTGCTCTGTCTTGTCTTTTCATTTGACGTCGGGGGAGGTTGCCAGTTTTATTCTATCATTAGAGTTTCTTAAACTCTTCTGTAGCTTCTAAGTGCCCAAAGATTTTTTAAAAAGGCGCCTTGAAAAAGAATCAATATTCCCGCTTCCTGTGAGGCGTTCGTCGTCATCCGGGGCCTTTTAACTTTCTCTTTAACGCCGGCGACCGTAGCAGAAATCAGGTCGTTTTACTGGAGCTATTCCAGGCTCGCGCGCGTAGGAGGGGCCGTTAAAGATGGCTGGCGATTACCCAGAAATAGCATCAGGTAATCAGAGAGGAAAGTCCGAGGCCCCTTCAGAGTTCAGAGATCTGCTCTGGTCTTGTGTCAGTTCCTGCGGAGTTCTCTTTCTTCAATTTTTATTTTA